CTTTTTAGAGGCTTTTTTAAACAGTTAAGCACTAAGCAGAGTCATCCACTGTGTCTCTGGCAGCAACTACCTCAGCCTTTTTTCTTTTAATTTTCTTTTCTTTTCATGATGACAGTGGTAAGGCCCTGCCTCCCTTGTCTCCCCTCACTGCACGTCACTGCTGCTTAATATACCATCATAATAATAGTTCTTTTGTTAGGGCAAAATAGAACTGTGTGTAGTGGAAAATACTATTTCCAAGGTCAAACAAGAAAAAGAAGAAACATGTCTATATAATTTATAATTATAAAATTGGAAAAAAATCTTAAATCAATATCCTCTTCTTCTCATAGTTAAGATATTATTTGAGCCAAAGGCCTAAAGGTAATTTAAAAAGCAAACAAAAACATTTGGGGATGAGCATAATATCTCCCCTATTTCTGAATTACACAACAGAGGTGTAGCGTTGCATGGTCCTAATAAAAACAAAACTACTGCTACAATATCTAGAATTATTTGTGCATCCAAACCAAGTATCCATTGTAAGATTCTAATCTGGAAAAACATGTCTTCCCTTTCCAAAAGCAGTCACACTAGAGCTGAAGAACTGAAATCTTTAGTTTTTAGTTCTTTAACACTCTCACCTGAAGCATATGAAGAGAATCAGAATATTTACAGACTACAGAGTAGAAATAGCTCCTGACTTTTTACGTGTTTCATTGACCATCATCTGCACACAGATAAATAATATATGATATATTAAGTTTTTAGTCTGTAGTTGTTTTTTTCAGTCAAAGGGAATCATTCAACCAAAGGAATCACTTTCCATCTAAGTGAATCTATGCAACATTAAATAGATCACTGGTGTCATGAGCTATGCAAATGGCCAGAAAGATTAATGAGACATAGACACACTGAACTACATTATCAATGTATTTCTTTGACAAAAGCATTTCAAGTATCACATTCATAAATATAGCACTAGAATTCTAGACTGTGTTGCACTGAAATTAATAATAATAATAATTAAAGAAAATGAAAGAATAACAAAACACATACATTGCTATTAGGTATAAATATTGTTTTTATAATTAAGCTCCGTCTATAGAACATTGAGGTTTTTTTCTAAAAAAGAAGAACTTAGGCTACAATCCTATATACATGTATTTATCGGGGAGTAGATTGCATCAAATCTAAGCTTGCACTAAGCTAAACTATACACTAAGCTTATATAAATATACATAGGATTTGTTCTGGTTGCAAATCAAAACAGTCGTTAAGTGGATGTGATGGAAATAATCTTTTCAAACTACAAGACATTTAGAATTTGTACATTTTAATTTTGGGTTTGTATTACTGTTCATATAAAACATGGCAGCAAAGAATTAGAAAAAAACATTCAGGTCAGTAGTACTGATTTTATGAAAGATACTATATGTTTGCTACCCATTTTCACACAAAATTCTCAACAGAAAAATGTATAATCATAAGAAGGAATGAACTGTGCATAATAAGTGTAAGTATAATCTTTATTGTCATTGGACTTAAATACAACAAAATTGGTTTTAACCTCACTGGTGCAAACTTATAACAGAAATGAAAAAGAAAGAGAAAGAAAAAAAAACTAGCATGTGCAAGGAGTGATTGTGGTTGTATTTAAAAGTCTCACAGCCCAAGGATAAAAGCCTATTTGTTCAGATGGCTATACTTTGATGTCTTCTGCCTGATGGTAGAAGTGCAAAGAGACACTGACCAGGATGTGAATCATCTCTGAGTATCTTCCTTACTCTGCTAAAGCAGTGAGATCTGGCGATGTCATCCAGTGGTGTCAGAGGGCAACCAATGGTTTCTTGTGCCAAATTGATCACTCTCTGTAGTGCCTTCCTATCTGCAACTGTTAAACCAGCATACCATACCATAATACAATATGTGAGGACACTTTCTATGGTGGTCATCAACCATTGTTCCACCTGATTTTTTCACAGGACTCTAAGGAAATGAAGTCTCTGTTGGGCCTTTCCAATCACCACAGACGTGCTGTTTTTCTAGGTGAGATCTTGACTAATAAGCATTCCCAAGAATTTAAAGCAGGAAACCCCCTCCACACAGCCTCCCTTGATATACAGTGGGGCAGGTTCCTCTCTGTGCTTCTAGAAATCTAGCACCATCTCCTTTGTCTTACTAGTATTTAGATGTAAGTTGTTTCTTGAGCACCATGCGGATACCTTCTGGACTACTTCTCTGTATGCTGATTTGTCCCCTCCAGTTATGAGACCCAGCACTGTTAGGTTGTCTGCAAACTTTATTATGATGTTGGATGGATCAGAGGATATGCAGTCAAATGTATACAGCAAGTACAGATAGGGGCTGAGCACACTGCCCTGAGGGGAGCCTGTGCGGAGCTTCAGCAAGGAAGATGTAAAGGACCCAACCCTTACTATTTGTGGACGATCTGTCAAGAAGTCTTTGATCCATTCACAAGTGAGGGGAAGGAAATTCAGGTCAGTCATCTTTTCAATGAGAATTCCTGGTAAGATGGTGTTAAAGGCTGAGCTATAGTCTATAAAAAGCATTCTGACATAATTCCCAGATTTCTCAAGGTGGCTCAGTGCAATATGTAGAGCAGTGGTGATGGATTATCCTGTCGATCTGTTGCTTTTATAAACAAACTGGTGTTGATCAAAATTTGGTGGAAGACAGGACCTGAGGTGTTGTAGGACCAGTCTCTCAAAGCACTTCATCACTATAGACGTCAGTGCAATGGGTCTATAGTCATTCAAGCTTTTTATAGCTGCTTTCTTTGGAACTGGGATAATTGTGGCTGCTTTCAAGCATGATGGGACTCTAGCCTGTTGCAGGGAAAGGTTAAAAATCCTTGTCAGGACCCCTGTTAATTGGTCAGCACAGGTTTTTACCACTTTTCCCAACACCCCGTCTGGACCTGCCGCTTTGTTGGGATTTACAGCCTTCAATTCAGCTCTCACTTGATGTTCATCCAGGGTGTGTGGCTGGAGGTCAGAGGGTCTTTGGGCTAGAGCCACAGAGACTTTTTTTCAACAAAAAAGAGCTTCTAAAATGTGAGTCCTTTCTTTTTAGATGCTAGTTTCAGCATCTTACCTCTTTCCAAACAGAGGCACACTATGCTGCCCAGGGGTGGGTTCTGGCTGGCCTTACTGCCAGTTTACTCATGTGTGTGCTGGATGCGCGCTGCGCATGCATGCACAGTTAAATTAAAATTGTTCTGTCCATACGCAGAACTCAAAGACAAGATGGCCACGGCAGTGACCACGGAACCAGTTTGGGGGTGTGGCAGGCTGCCATACCACTACCGGTTTGGCCGAACCAGGCTGAACCGGTAGGAATCCACCTCTGATGCTGCCTCCATTTATAGAATATTCATCTTTCCTTCTTTCCATTCTTTCAGATGACAAATTACAGCAAATGTATATTCTCCCTAAATTTGATTTGATTAAAAAATTCTGTTTGTTGCTGAACCTTACATTAGTTGGAAAATGAAAAGCATTTTCTTCATGATGTAAAAAGAATCATTTCTTTCCTCTTTCGCTAAAGCAGATGTTCAAGGCAACATGGTATTTACATTTCACCAGCATTATTACCATATTTCAACATTTCTATTGCACCTTTCATCTCCAAAGAGCTGAAAACATATGATAGGTATACAAACAGATCACATAATCCAACATTAAAATGAGTCTGTGACAGCTGCTTAATGACATTTTAGCATTCTGCAGTGATAAACACTTTGGAATATATAGCTGAATTCTCTTTAAAATATCATGTACAATTGCTTTTGTTTGGCTAAGACAGTAATTCTCAACTTATTCAATGTAGGCCAAATATCTGAAATATATGACATACCACTGCCAAATTATTATATTTTTCAGATAGAATTGTGAACAAAATTAAAATTAAACCAAAATATACTACAACAGGGGCAATATTAGTTGCTGCTATCTTCTTTGGGAATGCTTTTTAATTTCCCAGCTAAGATTCCTGAGATTCTCCCTTCCTAATACTAACCAAGCTCATTTCAGTTTAGTTGACAACTCAGACATGGTCATCCAGGTGCTGTTACCTGCTGAAATGTGTGACATTACACAATGGATTCAACGGATCAATGCAAAAACAGACTATCATTTTTAGAGGGAATTCTAATTATCCTTTAATCTAGAGGCAGTAAGATAGAGCTTTCTTAGACTTTGCAGTTCCACTATTCTGTGGAGTGGGGAAACCTATTAATCTTCGGTGTTTTATGAAAGCATTTTGTCAGAGTATGAATATTCATAGACTGGAATAGATCAGCCAATGAATAG